GAGCCTCTTCACCATGCCAAGGAGCCCCCCTTGAAGAGGAGGAGTAGCAATAATGTTGAAGGATAAGATATGGCAGGAAAAGAGGGACTATAAATGTATTAATTCAAGGATTACGTAGAGTAAAATAAAGGTTGGATGTGAAAAGTGGGTTATGGTAAGTGTACATGCACCTGGAGAAGAGAAGTGTAGAGGAGAGAGAGAGATTTTGGGAAATGTTCAGTGAATGTGTGGGGAGTTTTGAACCAAGTGTGAGAGTACTTGTGGTTGGGGATTTCAATGCTAAAGAGGGTAAAAATGTTGTGGAGGGAGTAGTAGGTAAATTTGGGGTGCCAGGGGTAAATGTAAATGGGGAGCCTTTAATTGAGCTATGTGTAGAAAGAGATTTGGTAATAAGTAATACATATTTTATGAAAAGGAGGATAAATAAATATACAAGGTATGATGTAGCACAAAATGAAAGAAGTTTGTTAGATTATGTATTGGTGGATAAAAGGTTAATGGGTAGGCTCCAGGATGTACATGTTTATAGAGGGGCAACTGATATATCGGATCATTATTTAGTTGTAGCTACAGTTAGAGTAAGAGGTAGATGGCGTAAGAGGTAGATGGGACAAGAGGAAGGTGGCAACAACAAATTGGAAGGAAGTGAAAGTGTATAAACTAAGGGAGGAGGAAGTTCGGGTGAGATATAAGCGACTATTGGCAGAAAGGTGGGCTAGTGCAAAGATGAGTAGTGGGGGGCGTGAAGAGGGTTGGATGAGTTTTAAAAATGCAGTATTAGAATGTGGGGCAGAAGTTTGTGGTTATAGGAGGGTGGGGGCAGGAGGAAAGAGGAGTGATTGGTGGAATGATGAAGTAAAGGGTGTGATAAAAGAGAAAAAGTTAGCTTATGAGAGGTTTTTACAATGCAGAAGTGTTATAAGAAGAGCGGAGTATATGGAGAGTAAAAGAAAGGTGAAGAGAGTTGTGAGAGTGCAAAAGGAGAGCAAGTGATAGAGTGGGAAAGGCACTGTCAAGAAATTTTAATGAAAATAAGAAAAAAATTTGGAGTGAGTTAAACAAGTTAAGAAAGCCTAGGAAACGTATGGGTTTGTCAGTTAAAAACAGAGTAGGGGAGTTAGTAGATGGGGAGAGGGAGGTATTAGGAAGAAGGCGAAAATATTTTGAGGAACTTTTAAATGTTGAGGAAGGGAGGCGGTAATTTCATGCACTGGCCAGGGAGGTATACCATCTTTTAGGAGTGAAGAAGAGCAGAATTTAAGTGTGGGGGAGGTACGTGAGGCATTATATAGAAAGAAAGGGGGTAAAGCAGCTGGAACTGATGGGATCATGACAGAAATGTTAAAAGCATGGGGGGATATAATGTTGGAGTGGTTGGTACTTTTGTTTAATAAATGTATGAAAGAGGGGAAGGTACCTAGGGATTGGAAGAGAGCATGTGTAGTCCCTTTATATAAAGGGAAGGGGGACAAAAGAGATTGTAAAAATTAGAGGAATAAGTTTATTGAGTATACCATGAAAAGTGTTATTATTGAAAGGTTATTATTGAAAGAATTAGAGATAAGGCAGAATGTAGGATTGCGGATGAGCAAGGAGGTTTCAGAGTGGGTAGGGAATGTGCAGATCAAGTGTTTACATTGAAGCATATATGTGAACAGTATTTAGATAAAGGTAGGGAAGTTTTTATTGCATTTATGGATTTAGAAAAGGCATATGATAGAGTGGATAGGGGAGCAATGTGGCAGATGTTGCAAGTATATGGAATAGGTGGTAAGTTACTAAATGCTGTAAAGAGTTTTTATGAGGATAGGGAGGCTCAGGTTAGAGTGTGTAGAAGAGAGGGAGACTACTTCCCAGTAAAAGTAGGTCTTAGACAGGAGATGTGTAATGTCACCATGGTGGTTTAATATATTTATAGATGGGGTTATAAAAGAAGTAAATGATAGGGTGTTCGGGAGAGGGTTGGGATTAAATTATGGGGAATCAAATACAAAATGGGAATTGACAGTTACTTTTTGTTGATGATACTGTGCTTATGGGAGATTCTAAAGAAAAACTGCAAAGGTTAGTGGATGAGTTTGGGAGTGTGTGTAAAGGTAGAAAGTTGAAAGTGAACATAGAAAAGAGTAAGGTGATGAGGGTATCAAATGATTTAGAAAAAGAAAAACTGGATATCAAATTGGGAAGGAGGAGTATGGAAGAAGTGAATGTTTTCAGATACTTGGGAGATGACGTGTCGGCGGATGGTTTTATGAAGGATGAGGTTCATCATAGAATTGATGAAGGAAAAAAGGCGAGTGGTGCGTTGAGGTATATGTGGAGTCAAAAAACATTATGTATGGAGGCAAAGAAGGGAATGTATGAAAGTATAGTAGTACCAACACTCTTATATGGGTGTGAAGCTTGGGTTGTGAATGCAGCAGCGAGGAGGCGGTTGGAGGCAGTGGAGATGTCCTGTCTAAGGGCAATGTGTGGTGTAAATATTATGCAGAAAACTCGGAGTGTGGAAATTAGGAGAAGGTGTGGAGTTAATAAAAGTATTAGTCAGAGGGCTGAAGAGGGGTTGTTGAGGTGGTTTGGTCATTTAGAGAGAATGGATCAAAGTAGAATGACATGGAGAGCATTTAAATCTGTAGGAGATGGAAGGCGGGGTAGGGGTCATCCTCGAAAAGGTTGGAAGGAAGGGGTAAGGGAGGTTTTGTGGGCGAGGGGCTTTGACTTCCAGTAGGAGTGCATGAGCATGTTCGATAGGAGTGAATGGAGACGAATGGTATTTGGGACTTGACGATCTGTTGGAGTGTGAGCAGGGTAATATTTTGTGAAGGGATTCAGGGAAACCGGTTATTTTTATATAGCCAGACTTGAGTCCTGGAAATGGGAAGTACAATGCCTGCACTCTAAAGGAGGGGTTTTGGGATATTGGCAGTTTGGAGGGATATGTTGTGTATCTTTATAAGTATATGCTTCTAAACTGTTGTGTTCTGAGCACCTCTGCAAAAACAGTGATTATGTGTGAGTGAGGTGAAAGTGTTGAATGATGAAAGTATTTTCTTTTTGGAGATTTCCTTTCTCTTTGGGTCACCCTGCCTCGGTGGGAGACGGCCGACTTGTTGAGGAAAAAAAAAAATAGTTTTGCATACAGAAATGGCACTACTAAATTCAAGGGTCCACTGTACCTTGAAATTGAGCTCATGTAGCGGAAATGTTCAATTTTGCCGATGTTCAACTAACTTCCTCATCTAAGTCAAGTTGATTAATTTTATTAAGTGTATTCTAACTTAACCACTCTAACCCGGCACAGTACAGGTCCCAATGATTTCTGATGGCAGACCTATACTCATTTAATACTATATGTATGTTTTAAATACTATGTTAAACTATAGTTATTCTTTATTTTTTTTTTTTATTTTTTTTTTTTTTTTGTGAATATTTTTGTGGGACTGGAATGGATCAACTGTATTTACATTATTTCTTGCGGGAAATATTGCTTCAACTTTCAGCCTTTTCGAGTTTAGCCCTAGGTCCTGGAATGGATTACGGCCGAAACTCTGGGTTCCGCTAACTCCAATTAGTGAATGCAAATAGCATTCCCAGCATATGTATTCTGAATCTTTATTAATTTTATTTTTCAACAAATTGGCTATATCCCACAATGACAAGGAGACAGGGTAACCTAAAAAGAAAACCTCAAGTCTTTAAATTTAGCAATTTATACAGAAGGGGTTATTAGCCCCTTGCTCCCAGCATTGCATTCGCCCCACACGACACACATGGCTTACGGAGGAAGAATTCTGTCCCACTTACCCACTGAGATTATTTTTTTAATTTTTTTTTTTTTACACGCCGCCCATCTCCCACCAAGGCAGAGTGACCCAAAAAAGAAAACACCATTTGCGTACAATCAGTCTTTGCAGAGGTGCCCAGATATGACAATTTAGCTGTCACTCCAAACAGCCAATATTCCCAAGCCCCTCCTTTAAATTGCAGGCATTGTACTTCCCACCTCCAGGATTCAAGGCCAGCTAATTGGTTTCCCTGAATCCCTTCACAAAATATCACCCTGCTCACACTCCAACAGCTTGTCAGGCCCCAAAAACCATTCATTTCCACTCCTATCTAATGTGCTCACACATGCGTGCTGCAATTCTAGGCCCCTTGACACAAAATCCTTCCTAGAATGACCCCTACCCATCTTTCCATCCACTACTGATTTACACACCCTCCAAGTCATTCTATTTTGCTCCATCCTCTCTGAGGAGACCACCTCAATAATCCCTCTGAATAATACTTTTTGCAACTTCATACCTCCTAATTTCCACACTACGAATTCCCTGCATAATATTTACACCACATACTGCCCTTAGACACGACACCTCCACTGCCTCCAGCCTCCTCACTGCAGCATTCACAATCCATGCTTCACACCCATATAAATATTGGTAACACTACCATAAATTCCCTTCTTTGGGATTAGGACACTGAGAAAGGAAAACAATTTGAAGAAAATGTTAAAGCTAACACATCCAATAAATAATAACTAGATAAATTACATTAATATAAAACGTACTAAAAGTTGATCCTTTCTTACATGTATCCACTTATTATCAGGATGGCCAAAACTTATATACAAGTTTGATTTAAATCTCTTGCCAACATTTTTGGCAATTCTGAAGAGCCAGGGTAGTACGGTTATAATCAACAAAGTTTAATACCATTTGAAATTGGAAAAACATGTACTCTGAAAAGTGTATTAGAATCTAAAAGGTCATTGTCCTAAACATCCATATGACCAAACAAACCTTGATCATGCAATGAATCTAAGCTATGAATTGCTTGTAATGCAGAATTTGAGGTGAAGGGTTCTCATCGAGTCAAATCAAAAGTGAAGTGTCCATAGTTTACCACTGTTCTTAAAAATTAATACAGCATAAATAAATATAAATTACTAAAGAACTGAAGTGAAGACAAGCATTTATGTTAAAGGAAAGAAGGCATCTTACCTTGCGTATCAAATCCTGAACATCTTCCGAGAAGAAACTAGGAAATCTAATATCAACACGAGAAATTCTTCTGAAAGTCTCAGCTTCTGAAGTTGCTTCAAAGGAGGGCTTTCCACAGATGAACTCAAAGCACAATACCCCTAGTGACCAAATGTCAACCTTTTCATCATACTTACGACCTTCAATCATCTCAGGGGGCAAATAATCTAAAGTACCACAGAGTGTTGTCCTTCTGCAATAAAAAGATTAAGAATTGTAATTTTATAACAACAGTTACTGGACATCTAAATTACAGCCAAGTACTGTACCAGAGAACAGAAGTTGAGATGTTTTCAAGAAAAAATTAGACTAATAATGAAAAAATATTTACTATAAATTATTTAACACACTGGTCATCTTGCACTAAGGAAAGGTAAACCAAAAAACAAACAGATTCACCTACATTCACATTTAATGGCTGTCCTGTCAGAAGTGCGCAGCATCACGACTCAAAAGACTATGAACCACAACATCCCAATCCCTTCCTCCAAGTGAAAGCACTGTATGGTATTGCCTACCTCCAGCACTAAGCCCAGCTACAGTTTGGACTGAATTTCTTTATGCTACCATGCTCACACTCCAACAGAACGTACAGTCAAACAAATCGCTACTCCTTTCACTAAGATCTAATATGCTCACACAAGCCTACTGGATGCTCAAGCCCCTATATAGGAAAATGTGTGATATCACCATGGTTTTTTAACATTCACAGACAGGGTTGTGAAAAGTGAATGCTAGGGTGTTTGGGGGAGACTTTTTTTAATCATCACATCAGCCATTTCCCACAAAGGCAGGGTGGCCCGAAAAAGAAAAAAACTAACCATCATTCACTCATCACTGTCTTGCCAGAGGTGCACTTACACTACAATTATAACACTGCAACATTAACACCCCTCCTTCAGAGTGCAGGCACTGTACTTCACATCAGGACTTAAGTCCGGCCTGCCAGTTTCCCTGAATCCCTTCAAGTTACCTTGCTCATACTCCAACAGCACGCCAAGTCCTAAAAACCATTTGTTTCAATTCACTCCTATCTAACACTCACGCATGTTTGCTTGAAGTCCAAGCCCCACTCGCACACTAAACCTCCTTTACCCGCTCCCTCCAACCTTTCCTAGGCTGACCCCTAGCCTGCCTTCCCACCACTACAGATTTACACACACTCTAAGTCATTCTATTTTGATCCATCCACTCTACACATCCAACCCATCTCAACAACCCCTCCTCAGTCCTCTGGATAACAGTTTTGCTAATACCGCATCTCCTCCTAATTTCCAAACTACGAATACTCTGCAACATATTCGTACCACACACTGCCTTCAGACATGACATCTCCACTGCTCCCAGCCTTCTTGTTGCAACATTCACCACCCATGCTTCACACCCATATAAGAGTGTTGGTTTACACAAATAACCCGCACATAAAAGACAGAAGCTTACGACGACGTTTCGGTCCGACTTGGACCATTGACAAAGTCACAGTGTGACTTTGTCAATGGTCCAAGTCGGACCGAAACGTCGTCGTAAGCTTCTGTCTTTTATGTGCGGGTTATTTGTGTATCGTTCCAGTCACAGTATTGTGCCTTTTTGTTATTTAGTGTTGGTTTAACTGTTCTCGTACATTCCCCCCTTTGCTACCATGGACAAAGTTCTTTGTCCTCACAGACTCCTCAGAGCACCACTCACCTTCTTGCCCTCGTCAATTCTGAGTCGCCTCATCTTTCATAGAGCCAACTGCTGACCTGTCCACTCCTAAATATCTCAATACACTCACCACCTCCATACTCTCTCCCTCCAATCTGATATCCAATCTTTCAGTACCTAATTTTTTTTTTTTTTTTTTTTTTTTTTTTTTTTAACCACCACCTTACTCTTCCCTATATTCACTTTTAATTTTCTTCTTTTACATACCCTACCAAACTCGTGCACCAACCTCTGCAACCTTTCTTCAGAATCTCCCAAAAGCAGTCTCATCAGCAAAGAGCAAGTATGACGACTCCCACTTTGTATTAGATTCTTCATCATTCAACCACACACCTCTTGCGAACAACATGGCATTCACTTCTCTTACAACTATCTAAAAATGCATTGAACAACCATGATGACATCACACATCCCTGTCTAAGGTCTACTTTTACTGGGAAATCATCTCCCTGTCTCCTACATACTCTAGCACGAACCTCACTATCCTCAACAACTCTTCACTGCTTTCAATAACCTAACTCACGAAATCGTAATGACACGATTGCAAACAAACCATACCCCGGCCGGGATTGAACCCACGGTCAGAGAGTCTCAAAACTCCAGCCCGTCGCGTTAGCCACTAGACCAGCTAGCCACAATAAGATTCGTCCAGCTAGGTATATTTCTACACCATAGGAAGGTTAGTACAGGCACCACTGTGACCACAAATGCAAGTTTTTACAGACTAATCTCCAGCTAGCGTGGCCGTGACGAACTCTAGCTCAAGTCCCTTCACGACGGGCTGGAGTTTTGAGACTCTGACCGCGGGTTCAATCCCGGCCGGGGTATGGTTTCAATAACCTACATCCTATTCCATACATTTGCAAGATCTGCCACACTGTCCCGCTATCCACCCTATCCAAATCCATAATGCCACAAAAATCTCTTTACCTGGCGTATACCTAGAGGGGGGGTTTTGGGGGTCAATGCCTCTGCAGCCCAGTCTGAGACCAGGCCTCATGGTGGATCTCAGGGTCTGACTGACCGGGCTGTTCCTGATAGCCGAATGCAAACTGGCACATGAACCACAGCCCAGCTGGTCAGGTACTAAGTGCCTATCCAGAGCCTTCTTAAACACAGCCAGGGGTCTATTGGTAATCCCCCTTATGAATACTGGGGAGCAGTTGAAAAGTCTTGGGCCCCTGACCCTTATCTAAATACTGTTCGCCTAAAAGTTTCACTGTAAACACTTTACACACCCCCTACCCTTCCTATTATAATTAAATAAAGAAGTGCTAAACCTACAAGGGTCATACAGTGAAGCAGGGAAGGGTGCAGGGGTATTGGGTAGCAAGAGGTAGAAAGGGCTGTGAAGAGTGCTAGAGGCATCAGAGTTTATACAGTCAAAGTCAACAGTCTGGGTTAAAGGAGGGTCCATCAGCAAGAAGGGAAGCTAAAGTAAGTATGAGCAGTAGTGGTGACAATGTTGGAGGGGAACTCTGCGTGCTCGCTGATAGAGTGGGCAGTCCAACAGAATATGGCTAACAAAGTGGAACATGACAATTCTCAGGGTGGAACAGGGCACCCCTCCATGAGATACCCACAAGACCAGTGTGGCCGATGCGAAGACGGGAGAGTAGTCTCCCAACCTTGACACTGATGACAAGACTGCCAAAAACCTATACATACTTGGTTTAATCGAATGTAATTCGTTATGTAGCAGATCAGACCAACGTTTTTGCCAAAGGGTGCGAAGATGGGTAGCAACTACAGCAAAATAGTCTGAATGGAACACCTCTATATGAAACTGGGAGGTCACTTACTGCTGACCGCACAGCAGTGTCTGCCTGTTCATTGCCCTGTACATCAACATGACTGGGGACCCAACAAAAAACAGTATCTGTGGTTGCTAATCTTTGTACTTGCTAGAGATACGGCGCAACCGGAGTTGAATGCGAAGAACCAGGGGATGAGGTATCAAATTTTCTTACAGCCTGTAAACCACTAAGGGAGTGAAACTCCCACAAATGGTGACACAGGCATAGATGCATTACGGGTAAGTGCTACGGGAATGGCATACAATTCAGCCATAAAAATGCTAGCCGAGAATAAATGCCCTTGCACAATGCTGTCCAGTAACACTGCTGTGAATCTGACGCCTTCAGAAGACTTGGAACCATTGATTTACAATGCGATGGCATGAGAATGAGATTGGTAGTAGTTAAGAGCGAGAAGCCACCGTAGGCAGTTCTTTTGCGCATGGCATTGGGAAAGAACAGACACGAACCGTCGGAACTTCCCAAGGGGGTAGGAAAAAGTGAGATGCTACATGAACTTTAAAAGGTGGTAACTGAAGAGAAGACAAGAGTGAATGCAGGTAAAGAGAAAACGGATGGAGTTAACAGGGGCGACGAACAAAAAGAACGTCTACTAACGTCAGTGACTATCCTACATGTGGAAGGATTGTGAGGGTCATGAGAGTGAACATAATAGCAAAGCTAATAAACATCATGGCAATCTGTCAAGGATGGAATATTTGCCTCTCAACCGGTGAAGAACAAAAAGCACTGAGCCATAGATGTAATCCCTAGTGATGGATGGGATTCAGGCTAGAAAGAGTTGCAGGAGAGGCCGCTGAACATATCTGGTTGCCAAAATCTAGTTTCGATAAAATTAGGGTTGAATGTAGTTGGAGAATTCTACAATCAGCCAGCCATGAAGGATTAGCAAGGGTTCTAAGGAGGTTCACCCAGCTATAACAAGTTGCCTTCAGCGAGGTTATACAAGGTTTCCAGGATAATAGACGGTCAAACAGAAGGCCAAGAAACCTGACCTTATCACGTTCTGGGATAATCAAGCTATGTAGGTACAATGGATGATCAGAAACGACAGAATGTCTAGTGAAAGTAATTTGGAGAGTTTTAGTACTAGAAAATTTAAACCCACGAGTAGTGGCCCAAGTGGGAACAATGCTGACTGCATGCTGGAGAGAAACTGCAATGAGGTGACAGTCAGCACCTGCACAAACCATAGCAAAGTCAACACAGTGATGACCAAATATTAGATAGAAGAATAGATGCCAGCTCATTTATAGCAAGGAGAAAGTGTTGTGCTCAGAACACATCCATGGGGAAGACCTTCAGCTTGGACAAAGTCCGGGGAAAACGTATTAACCCAAACACGGAAGTTCTTAACGAAAAATGGTAGATTGCCTCGGAGGTCTAAGGAGTGGGGCTGGGCCAAGATGTTATACCTCCAACTTGTGTCCTATGCCTTCTCAAGGTGGAGAGAGAGAGAGAGAGAGAGAGAGAGAGAGAGAGAGAGAGAGAGAGAGAGAGAGAGAGAGAAAGAGAAAGAGAAAGAGAGAAAGAGAGAGAGAGAGAAAGAGAGAAAAAAAAGGGGGGAAAAAAAAGGGGTTAAAAAAAAAAAAACCCCTTTCGTAAAAAATTTTTTTAAAAAAGGGAAGAAAAAAAAGGGAAAAAAAAAAACCCGGAAAAAGGGGAAAAAAAG